ACGAACCCTATAAATAGCCTCGAGCAGCTATGAGGACTTTGGGAAGATTTTTGGCGATCGCGTGAAGAGAGATTTGTGTTCGTATTCTCGTGATCTAAGCCACCATCATAAGCTTTTGTGATCTTGTTCTCATCGTCAACGGGAGGCAATCTCGACTCAAGCATCGGGGAAACATCCTTTCGCCACCAAGAACCCACGTTAAACAAGGAGGAGCTAAATTAATCTTCTCTTCATCTGTAATCGAGAGAGTGTGAGTGGTTGTAAGGGTTTCATACCAAGTGATCGATTTTCTTAAAACAAGAGAATCAATCTCAGTCAATTTTTCCAAGTGATCGATTTTCTTAAAACAAGAGAATCAATCTCAGTCAATTTTTCGACCCTACACTAGGTTGGAAGATATGATTGTTTCTTTGCGGAAGTCAATAATACATATAAATCTGTATTTAGCTCGTGATTGTCCAAATCCTCCATAAAATTGTTTGTTAAGCGTCCTACATCATTTACCCAAGCAGTCATCATTGTCAACAACAAATTTCAACGATATGATATCTTTATGTAATTTTGAAAGTTTATGATAGCTTATTGTTTGCGTCGAAAGTTGATGTATTCATTACGGTATTCATTATAACTTTAGTCGTTACAATGAAAACAAAAAAAATAGTCTTTTTATAAGACTCTTACACAATGAAAATAAAAATTACAACTCTCATCAAAACAAACGCAAGGAGATCGTTTATCGATCTTCTGCTTGTGCGGGATATCTTTGCCTGTGCCGGGGATTTTGATATCCGTGGACTGCCTTAGATCTGGATCCGGTTGATGGAAAACTAGGCAGAGCATCGCCTTCACCGAGGGAGTATTTGATTGAAGCGCTAAAATCAACCAAGCGAAATCAGTAGCTCTTCTCGATATTAAGACAAAGCCTAATCTCAAGGAACGGACGTACGTGCTTCAGATCCTTCGAATAGCTCCTTCTTTATGCTGGAGTTCGCCGAGATCTCGCTAAACCTCGCTGAAATTCGTGACTCTTGGCTCTGGAGTTCGACAGCACCTCCTCGTCTTGATAATAAATCGCTCCTTGTGAAATGAGCCCCTATGCCTGTATTTATAGGCTTCGGTTGGGGGTTTTCGGATAAGAATGGATGATTTGACCTTATCTTTAGTTAATAACGGCCTAACCATGTTTATATATGATATCAAGTCAGTTAGGAACCCCTGGAATAGATAAATCCTGAGAAAACCGTCGAAAACGCGTCCGGAGGTCGAAACAGCGCGGGGGGCGCGGGGCGGCACGATCCGACCCGCGCCATGCGCCGGTCAAGAAGGACCGACCCGCGCGGTGCGCGGGGTCGAACCGAGCGGACGGTATTTTGTTTTTTTGTGTTTTTTCTGATTCTCCGGGACTTGTTCTTTTCACCGTTTCATGTATTTGATCGACTTGTTGACTTGTACGCTTCATTGCGGGACTAACCGTCGAACGCGCGTTGGTTGGCGTGTGCGTGTTGGTTAACGTGCGCGTGTTGATTGATGCGCACAAACTGATTGACGCGCGCGTGTTGACCAACGCACGCGAGCTGATTGACGCGCGCGTGTTGACCGACGTGCGCGAACTGATTGACACGCGCGTGTTGACCGACGCGCACAAACTGATTGGTACGCGCGTGTTGACCGGCGCGCGCGAGCTGACTGTTGAGCGTGCAGGCCACTTGGTTCGCCGTTTCGCCTCCTGCGCTTGCCGGCGTCAGATAATCATTTTAGACTCGGATAACGACATTCGTCGTCTTCTCTCCGTCTCAAGCTGTGTGCGAACACTTATAGACATTTTTAGACGCCTACATTTATCCTAGTAAAAAAAAGTTCATCGCAATTTTGTATAAAAAAAATCCGTAGTTCAAAGTCTTGCGTACTTCATCCCAAGAGTTACACATCAACACAGAAGTACTATCTAGCATGTACATAAATGTAAAACTAGTTCTCTAAATATCTAGGAATACCCCCACAGTTTTGAAATGAGATTTACAGAATCGTTAAGTTCTTAACATCATCTTATATTGCAAGCAAGATGTAGGACATTTTCCATATCAAACGCATGAACTAATGATGACAACCAAAATATATGGACCAGCTTCCAAAACTGTAGGAAGCAGGCAACAATTCGCTGATCCAAGTAATGGCTTCCACGGATCGACAACTTATCATTATCGCCTGTTGTTTTTCACTTTTAATGGTTGGAGATGTTGTTCAACATCAACACACCCCATGTGTCTTTCTATCTAAATGTCTTTAGATTTCTTAACAACTGGTTTCGACATGATTTAGATGTTATGCAACACCATCCTCAAATTGACAACATGCTTCCCCTTTTTGGAGTTGTTTGGTTTGTTGTAATTGTAATTACATGCAAGTGGTTATTACAAAAGCAACGGAAACATGTTTATCATTGTACGTAATTGCTTTATTCAGTTAAAAAATTTTGCAAGTTGTCGCGTGTATTTCATGTACTTGTTTTTGGACACGGGATTTCTTGAACCCATAAGAGCTTCATTGCAACTAGAAATGCAATTTAAACCACATTTATAGCTAAAAAAGTTTGCAATTATGAATTAGCTTAAATCTATGTAAATTATCAGTTATATTTTTTGTATTTATTAGCTGTAATGAAACATACAATTATAATTGGTACAAAAGGTTCCGGTTACGTGGAACTGATACGCAACCTATGCAGCGATCTAAACAACTTTTCTAATGTTTTTTTGCAAAAACGCTATTGGAAAAGAAAAATGATCGCAAATAAAAACTTGGTTGCCACATTCAGATTCAGATTTTTTTTAGATAGTAATTGGAAGTACGCGATGCTGTGAACGGATTATGAGACTACGTTAACTGCTTAATTTTAACCCGGCACTCTCCAAGTTGTGCTGACACGTTCTCTTTAAGTGGCACTCATCACATAATTTTGCAACTGATGAGAGACTTGGCGCTATGCTGCTAATACATGTAACCACCGCTTCTAGAAGGAATGTTGTTAATAAATCACCTAAATTTGTCACATCGAGATTGTTAGAGATGCTCAACATATAACAAAGAGAAGGATGGGATTAAAAAATAACCCCTTTTATTGACTTTGTAGCTTAAAGAAGTACAAAGTTTTTGGAGATATTTGTTACTTGGAAAAATTGCTTCAAGCCCCTCAAAATTCAAGTTTCAATGTGCCACAGCCCTCCCAACTTTCCCCAATGTGCTGCCGCCCCTATAATTTGAAAAAATTGTGTCCAATGCCCCTCTCCCCAAGTTCCAATGCAACCTCCTCCAAAATCCCGATTTTACTCTCTCCCCTACACCTCCCTCCTCCTCCTCCGGTCCCCCTCAGCCCCCCCCCCCCTCCCTCCCCAAACTCCGCCTCCCTCCCGTGTCCGTCTCCCTCCTACACCTCCTCACTTCTACCTCCATCCCCTCAGCCCCTCTCACCTCCCTCCCAACTCCGTCTCCTCCCCTTCCCCGTCTCCCTCCCCCCCGTCCTCCTACACTCCCGCCGCCTCCCTCCTCGCCTCCTCTCCTCTACACTCCTCCCCTCCTACACCTCCCTCCCTCCCCAACCTCCCTCCCCCGCTCCGCCGCCGGCGACGTCCCGAGGAACTTCGCGTCTCATGTTAACTATTATAGGTAACATGTTAACTATTACAGTTCACACATTGAGTTCAAAACATATTTATAAAATTATAATAGTAAACATGTTATCTATAACAATTAACATGTTATCTATAACAGTTAACATGAGCTGGGATGAGCTGGCATGATAAAGAGAAATGATAAAATTGGGATTTTAGGAGCTGACATCTCTAATCATGAGCTGGAATCATGATGGAAGGCCCTGGACACAATTTTTTTTTTAAAAAAAGGGGTTGCAGCACATTTAAAAAAAATGTGAGGGACTAAGGCATATTAAAACTTGAATTTTGGGGTCTAGAAGCAATTTTTCATTGTTACTTACATTTCTTTAGGTTGAGTATTCCCTTACTTGAGCCTCAACAATAATTGTTTTTTTTTTAATTTTATAAAGTTAGTTGATGATGGAAATAAAATAACAGATGAAAGAGCAAATCTAACTAGGGTCCAACATACGTAGTAGGGAAATTTTCTACCCATGAGGTAGTTTCCTTTTGTTCAATTATTGATGTACCTGGCACTTTTGATTGAGGATTTATTTAAATTTAAATTGTTATTGCTGTCCAGTGCACAGTTGAAAAAGAAACAGTTGGCGTACATATGCAACAAAGAAAGTTGACTAACTTTAGAAGCCAAATGCATACTACAGAAACCGTGATTGTAGTGTGCTAGAATAATGGTTTTACCTAGATCTAGAGTCATTTATTTGCGACCTTTATATGAATCCAATTAGTTACCAGAAGTTGACTTATGATGGCAAGGCTAAGCCTGAAGTTAACAGCTACAAGTTTATTGCAGGGTGTCTTTTGATGAAGCCTATCAACTTAAATGCGTACAATCGTATAACTATATTGTATTCGTATATGTATACTAACATATCTATATATTAAAAATTTAATATCCATATTGGATTGGGTATATAGATATAAGTATCATTTTATTTTTTGCTGGAGATAGACATAAATATGCTTTGCAAAGTTGAACAAAACAACTGAAACTATTTTGCTCTCAGTTCAGTGAATTTGAAGACGAAGTTGGTGACGTTAGGGTTTACTCAAATAATTTTACGTGTCAAGTACACAGGTAAACAGTAAACTCCTTATTTGAAGTTTCTGTAGCATTTAAATAGTTTTTTGAATGGGAAAACCTATATACTTCTTCGCTTTATACATTTTCTGTATATTTATCTATCTGCATTATTGTTCACTTTATGTTATTGTATATCCATTCTTGAACTTGGCGGACATGAATGTAAGTTTCTCTTACTGAAATATATTCATATTCAGAATAAATCCATGATTGGAAAACACAGTCCAAATTCTCCCAGGGGCCAAGCAACAACTACCAGGAAACAAGGTCTAACTTTGGACTCAAAACGTGTTACTTCTCCATGTGAGCTGCTGCATAATGTTTCTACCTAAATGGCTAAAATGTACGAAAAACTTTAGATGAAAACAATTGCTGACTGATAATAGAAAGTTCTAATGTGAATTACAGAGTAAAAAGTTTATATTTTCATCTTACACCGCAAGCGACGGAGAAGATGAAACCCAAATGGCGCACTGCATATGATCCACAGGTTGCACGCCAGTTTACTGAATCACAACCTAGACAATTCCATGCAACAAAAATTAAAAAAAAAATGCTTTAATGTATGCTTAGTTGGATAGGAATATGGTTTGCACCGATCTCATTTTCCACTCTCACTGCACCAAAACCCTAAAATTGTACTGATGATGATTGTTGAGCCTTACAATATTTTATTCGAACAGCTCTACTCCTCTCCTCTTATCTTCTACGTAGATGTCAGCACTCCCAACTCACCAATATTAACAACCAATCATCACTGTCAACTTTCACCGCACCCAACGGTTGGAGATGCTCTCCAACTCAACACACCCATCTGTCCTTCTAGAAGATTAGATCTTCAGATCCCTTATCCCTGAAACACAGGACAACAAATGAGGAACCTGAAGCAGTTAAAACTGCTAAAACGAATGCAATAAAATTTCAAGACTATGGTTCCAACCCAATTTAGATGCTCTACAACAAAAATCGCTTGATTGACAACAACACGCATGTGGCAGGACTAACAACTAGTTAATATAAATAGTTTCTTCTCATTCTCACCAACATCCACATTTCAACATACCCATAGGAAAGCCAAAATAAAAATAAATAAAAAGAATTAAATTTTTTTTAAAAAAACTTAAATAAGGAAGTTATTGCTGTGCATTCAGATTGAAATTCAAAACCATATTTGGCAAAATAATACAACACATTAATAAAACCTCATGTGACCTTAGTAGACATGAATCATTAACAAACAGGTCCCAAATGGGACTGGTCACCTAACAGGTACAACTGAGAAGCTCAGCTCCATGTTGCTAATATAAGTTATTCACCATCCTATAATTAATTCCCTTAAGAATCCAGAAGGAATGAAGTTTGCTAACAAAGTAACAAGGTTGGTAGAGATGCTCCTCAACTCCAGTATAACAGACAAATGAATGAGATTAAATAGCAGGTCCTTCCTATTGACTTTATAGTTCAAAGAAATAGAAAGATTTTGGAGATATTCAGACTCTACGTTTCTTTTACGTTGAGTGTTCCCTCAGATGAGCCTCAACAATAACTGGTCTATTTCTATGTGGACATATGCTGTAGAGGCACATGGGTGGCTAGTTAGTTGATGATGGAAAATTGAAATAAAATGACCGATGAAAAGGATGGAGAGACTTTTTATTAGGATCAAGCATACATAATAGGAGAACTTTCTATCCAATGGGTGAGCTATTTCAATTCTATCATGATGTATGTGGCATTGTTCAGTTTTATTCAAGTTTTGTTCTTGCCGACTAATGCATGGTTCAAGAGATGCAGTTGCTGTATTTCTGTATTAAAGCATGTTGGCTATTAAAAAGCCAAATGCATGCACCAATTTTTTATTGTGGTACACCGAAATATAAACTTGACAAAAGCTAGAGTTTTCAGTTTGGTCCTTATACAAAACCAAGTTATCAGAAGTTGACTATGATAGCATAGCTAAGCTTAAAGTTACAGAAATGAAGTTGTTGCCAGGTGTCTTTGGATGAAAGCTATGAAGATGGATTTGAGTAGGATGCGAAGGGATCCATATATTTGCCAATGTATCCATCTTCATATCCAGTGGGATATGAGATGGGATTATTGGCATATATTAAATGTAATCCCCAAGTCATTTGCACCCTTAATTTTGGGAATTAGGAAACTATACAATAATACAATAAGTTGACAGGTGGTATTATTGTCAATATATTTAGTAAAGCCCAAGAGAAATAAAATCCCAGCTAATTTGCATTGTTCGGGAAGATGGAAAAGCGATTGAGAACCTAAGAGTTCGAAGGACATGTCGTAAGAAGTGTTCTCTGATTTATGATAACTGACGAGTAAGAGTTCAATGCATTTACTTGAAAAAGAGCAAAGAGTTGCGTGCAATTCTAATTCTACTTCCAGTTCCAAAATTTGAAACTGGAAATTGCCGCAATCCATCTCCACGTTTTAATCTTTTTATCGTGTTGACCATATAATATGTCATAAACAGTTCCTGATAAGGAATCGGTAAGCATTTCTTGTAACATTGATAAGCATTTAAATGATCCGAGTAAAGTTTTTAGTGAATCTGTGTTCCGCAGCCAATTCCAGATCATTAAAAGAAGGCACAGATGATGAAACTAGCATTGTAGAGATAGAAAGAGATGTCTCTTAGAAACAATTTTAAAAAAAGGTGGCAGATTGTATTTGTTAAGTTGTCGGGTCCATTAGAGTCTATTGGCCAGCACACAAGGCTTGGACTTTGAGTCTATAGCCTAACCTCACTTTACATTCGTCTACAAAATTTTCTATAAATTCATCCTCGACCCCTCACCAAACAAACATTGGCGCCCATGTGTTAGGACTAACAACCAGTTATTAGATTCTTATCATTCTCTGATGGTCTTCATTTGTGCCTTAATTTGCGTTTTCTTGTTCTCTTCACAAGGCTACCTAATTATTCCCTTCGTAATGTACAAATGATCTCTTCAAAATAGAAAGACTGAAGTCTACAATCGTATGACTCTATTGGGTCCTAGACTCTTAGTAGATGTATTTAACTATGAAACAGGTCTTAAGTGGGTCTGATCACCTAACCGTACACCTGAGAGACTTGGCTCTACCTTATGTAACTGACAATCTTAGGCTAGATTCCCTTAAGTTTCTAGAAGATATGAAGTTAACAAATCACCCAGATCTGTCGCGTGCAGACTGTTGGAGATGTGAAATAGGTCTTAAGTGGGTCTGATCACCTAACTGTACACCTGAGAGACTTGACTCTACCTTATGTAACTAACAATCTTAGACTAGATTCCCTTAAGTTTCTAATTTTTTTAATGAAGTTAACAAATCATCCAGATTTGTCGCGTGCAGACTGTTGGAGATGCTCAACTCCCATATAAGAAATCCTATATTTTAATTTCTATATACATCATCCCCTTCTTGCTTACATAACGAACAGGACGAGATTAAAAATAACTCCTTCCACATTTGATTTTGAAGTTGAAAATTAAAAGAAATAAAAAGATTCCATACATATTCATTGCTTACTTTTCTTTGTGTTGAGTATTTCCCTGTAGCTGAGCCCCAAGCTTAGCTTAATCTATTTCAATGTGGAAGTCTGCTGTCAAGGCACATGGGTGGCTGGTTAGTTGATGGAAATAAAATAACTGATGAAAAAGATGCAAGAGCATTTTTTTTATAAATTAGGATCCAGCATACGTAATAGGAGAAATTTCTAACACACAGATGAGCTCCTTTTGTTCTATCATAATGTATGTGGCAATGTTGACTGTGGGTCTATTCAAATTTCAATTTTTCTTGCCTTCTAATGCATGCTTAAATAGTAACAGTTGATGAGCATATGTCTTCAAGTAAATTGGTTATTGTATAGCCAAAATCTATGCTGCAAAAGTTTGATGTGGTATACTAGAAGCTACAAAGCATTGTATCCGTATCCGTAACTCAAAAAAAAAAGGAGATAGTAAATATCATATCTAAGCCATATCCAATCCACTTACACTCCTAATTTTACGAGTTAATTCTGTAAGGCTCAAGAGAAATAAGACCTAAGCTCAATTTTGTCGTCAAGAAAAAACTTCCAACAGGAGAATATAAAAGATTAAAACAATCTATTCTAACAGAAATAGCTTGTACAGAAGTAAAATACATCTTTTATTTGTAGGACAAACTTGAAAATCTAAAGAAGATAGACTATGCGTTTCTCACCTATACTGTTCATATTAACACTCTGAGACCTATCCAAAATATCCCATTCAGCATTGACATCTATGGATCTGGAAATTTAAGTTTCTAGAAGTTCATTAATTCTCCCCAATTTTTGAATCTCAAAGTTCCACAAATGATTTCAGGAAAATTCCAACTTAATGAGGGAGAAGAAACTGGTTTTTGTGACTATCGAAGTCCTCATATACCTAGAGAAGAATACGTGCCTGTTGACGATTTGTCTTCTTGACGATTTTTTAATCTCCCCAATTTTTGAATCTCAAAATTCCACAAATGATTTCAGGAAAATTCCAACTTAATCAGGGAGAAGAAACTGGTTTTTGTGATTATTGAAGTCACAGATATATTTGAATTACTAGGAGTAAGCTTTATACTTTTCCGTGAGTCAATTAAGCTTTGATGCTTGGAAGACTCCTTTTTGACGATTTGTCTTCTTTTTTATTTCCTTGATGTAATCTGCCATCTTCCTCTAACTACGTTTAACTGTTGCTAATCATAGTGGTACTTGTTTGAAATCCTGATGTAACGTAACAACCGCCTAATATTGCGTAAATAAGTATTTACAGCTTCTAAGTGTTTATGCTATGATATACCTTTTTAAAATTAAATATGTCATTAAAATAGGAAAGTATCTCATCTCATCAATGTGCAAAAAACAATCAAGTATTCCTGAATGTAATATAAGTCACAATTCTAAAAAATGGTTAGGTAAGCTACATCATGTACATAAAAGTAGGACATATATGCACTTCAACTATTCCTGAAGCACCCTCAAGAGTCAAGACTATGAATTGAAATACTGGGTAATCAGAATATCATATTGTATATCTAAATCCGACAAATATGTAATGTCACAAGAAAATAAGCTGGTATAAAGGCTGCTAAGATATTGGAAGTAGAAACAAAAGTAAAACTAGACAAATAGGAATTATAAATATTGTAATTAATCTTGCAAAATGCTACAAACATAAAGGAGAAGCGCGCGCACCTTTTGGGTGACAAACTGGGATGGGATATTCAAAAATACTGCACAATAGTCTTGTCACAAGATAACAATCTTACTTTTATATACGCACTCTTGCTCAGCCCAGAAAACTGAAGCCGCATAACAGCATCAATAATTAGCCAAGAAAACTGAAGCTGGATAGAAGCATTAATAACAAGATAAGGCAGATTCCTTAGGTAACATATAAGTTTAAAATGCAACAGAAGAAACAAGAACGGGTTTTTCAGATATTGGTCACCAAATCTTAATTATTTCAAAATAAGCGTCCCAAAATAGGTATAATAAGTGCTCCAAATCTCATAAGTTACTGAATACTGCATAGGCCCCTCATATTAGAACGAGTAAAGTGCACATCACATCAATGCCTTCAGTTGCAGTAAACAACCCTCAAGTCATTTAATATCACA